GCAAGTGCTAAAGAAAACTATAACCCCAGTGAGAGCAGATTCTGCCTCCATTCAGCAAGTATGTTTGCTGGCACTGATGTCCCACTGATATTCCTGGAGACGGGTTCCCAAAGGGGAGTCTGGGAGGAAGAACAGGAGATCCAGGTGCTGGAACTTGAATCCTGGCCCAGCCAGCAACTTGTAAAGAGAATTAACTCCCTTCTTGGGCTTCTATTTCCTGTCTATAAAATGGGGATGATTTTACTGGCCTTATGTGGCTGTGACAAGGATAATATAAGGTGACACATCAGCACACAGCACAGCGAGGATCCAGAAGCACTCTGCAGCACCAGCAGCTTGCCATGGTCTTCATCTGGAACATCAAAACACAACACTCCCACTCGGGAAACAGCCAGGTAGGACGCAGGTCCTCTACACTCCTTTCTGGGGACCTCCTGGAAAGACTACATTCACACTGCCATTCCCGTGGGTGGAGTCAGGAAATGTGCTTTTTCTTCTTTGCTCTTTATCTGTTTGACTTTTCCAAAAGCAGTCAGTGTGCACTGTTCAGAGAAGATGCCCTACATGTTTGCTCCTTTATCTCTTGGTTATAAACCTGTCAAGAGGCTTCCAAACACACATAGGCTGTCTGTTCAAAAGGAACTCTATGTCATTCAGAAGTCAGCGAAAGGGGTTCAGCTGGCAGCTTCGAAGGAACAAGATGATAATGTTTAAAAATGATCAGACTCCAGCTCTAGGCACCAGCCTGACAGATGACAGACAAACAGACGGACATAATGTACATTTGTTTGAGTTTTTGCATGATGTGAGGCACAGTACAAAGGGAGATTTGGTAAAAATAGACACCTACTGATAAAACTGGTATGTGGCCACAACATATGATATTTAGGGGGCCCAGAGATGACCTGAACTATAGTTCTTGACCTCAGGAAGCTCAGAGTCTAACACAGAAGATGTCAGTGAGCAGAATCATGCAGGATGGCTTCTACATGGAGGTCTAGGAAAAGTGCAAAGCAGTTGCAGTTCAGGTGCTAAAGCCTTGTCGCCTTCCTGTCCCCTCTTCTCCTCTACCCTCCCTCTTGAGCTGGGTCTAGATTCCTGCAGCATCGGCAAGACTCACTGGACAAAGAAACGTTAGTCATTCTGGTCAAGCAAAGTAGCACTACTGAAATGATTTCTTCCCAAATGAGACGGGCTGCAAATCAACCCAAGTGACATGGGGGCAGCTTAGCAAGTCAGAGCCTGGCACAAGAGACCATGTTCCCAGGAGCTGTGGCCTGCAAGTCACCAAGGATACCAGGCCAAAGGATGAGTCAAGAGCCCTTGGCAGGGACAGAGACAAACACCAAGTTAGATGGGGGCCAGCCAGACACTTTGTGATCCAAGGCACAGACAGACAAAGGAAATCATTCAGCTAAACCAAGGTCGAGAGTCGTCCAGGTTGAGATTCCACTGCCTGTCCTCCTGGTCACCCACCATCCTTAGTGTGATGCTAGAAAGGGTCAGACTCCAGCGTGATGCCGAATGGTAAGTCAGCCAATGTTCTGCCCAGGAGTGTGGACTTCTGCTCTCAGCAGAAGGAAGTTTGGTAGGAAGACTGGAGAATGGCCACCTCCACCAGTCATACCTGCCTGGCTAGGTTAACATCTCACCTACCCTTTAGGACCGCTGCAGGGGACAAAGGAAAGTGTGTGTTAGGGAGGAGAAAAGGATGAGGACTAAGTCTCCAGAGGACCAGCCTCAGGAGTGGCCTCAAGGATACAAAGCAGGCAATGAAATCAAAGCCACCAAAAGATCCTAAGTGCCACCCTCTCCTCTACACTCCTGAGCAAAACGAGACAGGGTTTTAAAAACCAGTTGCAAAAAACTAAAAAATAAATAAATAAAAACCAGTTGCAGAATCAGTGACTACAGGCTTTGAGGTTGGTCTGACTGTGCTTTAAATCCCAGCTCTGCCAACATCAAAGCCTCACCTGATGGGAGGAGCTGCACCCCTGCCTGCAGGAGGCCGCAGAGAGGAGGCAACAGGACCTGGTCTGGCTCAGGTGCCACAGATCTGGGCGCACGACCATGCTGGTTACGACACTCACATCCACTCTGCATGCTTCCTGCTGCACGTGTGAGGTGCTCCAGGGACAGTGAGGGAGGAGGTGAGAAAAAAAAAAGACTCCAGGCAGAACTGAAGGTGCCAGGGAGGATGCATGAATGAGAAACTAACTCTCAGGTCTGAGCCCTTGTGCGCCATCCACCTGCATCCTGTTGGCCCATTTTGTGCCATGCATGTTGGTCTGGGCAGGATCCCTGCAGAGATCCCCTGCTAATAGTCCAACACTGAACATCTCCAGCTTTACATGGTCTTAGTCACAGCTACTTAATTCTGCCATCATTATAGCATGAAAGCTGTGATGGACGAAATACTTGGGAATAGGGATGGCAAAGTGTCAATAAAACTTTATTTACAAAAGCAAGTGGCGGGCCAGATTTGGCCCCAGGGGAACAGGGTGTTGATTCTTGATCTAAGGTTTTGGAGTTTTTGCAGCTTATACAGCCAGCAACAACTGAGAAAGAGCTCCACATTTTTTTCATGGTCCCACCAGACCCTCCATGGCCTCACCTCTGCTAGTGGGTCAGTTTTACGGGTCTCACATGCTTCACATTTGCTATCAGAACCTACCCTGCCCAATAAATCCCAGGTGCCTTTACAGCGCATTCCCCTCCCTGCTTGCCACTCCATTCTTAAGAATCAACTTCTTCACCTGAGACTTGAGATACACAGGGATGTAAAGGTTAACCCATGGATCACTGGGCATGGGTGTTTCAGAAGTTAAAATCAAAGGCCAGGGTTTGCTTTCCCCAAGCAGCCTGAACACACCTGGCAGGCTGCCCCTTAAAGTACCCTTTGCCTGTGAAAATCAGTTTGGGCTCTAAAATTATGAGACACTTTATGTAAAAACATACAGGAGCAAAGAATGGTGGTACACATCTGCAATCCCAGCACTCTGGAAGGCTGAGGCAGAAAGGTCTCAAGTTTGAGCCCAGCCTAAGCTACAGACTGAGTATCGAAAAGAAACTTAATTTAAAAAAAGAAAAAAAAGCACAGTGGAAGACTTGTTCTGAAAACTAGCACCACTGCAAAATCACGTTGGGCCTAATTTCCCCCATATGGTTTATATTTATCACCACCAACATCATCATCCCTTGAATCTGGGCCATGCCTAACTGCAGGTTCTGTGCAGGGCACACAGCGGTGCCCCGTGAATACATGGGAATGAGAGCTCCACCTCACGGGAGAACAGACTTGGTTAACCCAGCTGCCAGGCCTGGCAGCTGGGAATTGTTTGCACACACATATAAGATCTCATTTGCGATACTAACCGAACTACAAATGGCTGGCTACAGACTCTCGTGTTTGTTCCCTGTCTCTCCCGCCTCCTAATTGAGTGTACTCTTTTGACTTAGAGGTTAATTATTCCTCTTCACGTTTCTTCAGAGACTCGTTCTCCCTGGGGACTGCTGGTCACCGTTATTGCACGTTTGCAGTGCCCTCCTGCCTGACATAAGGGATTTTTTTTTTTTTAAAGGAGATGGAGGATTTCGTGGCCTGATTTAGACCTGGGTGCTTCCAAATGAAAGAAGATGAGGCCACAGGGAAGGCACTCTAGAAATCCAAAGCGCGGGGCGCTGGAGCCTCAGAGCAGTGAGAGGCCTGGGAACTGAATCCGAGGAAGCCTCTAAGCCATTCTGAAGAAGAGTTCAGATGGATGGAGCCTTGTGGATAAACCAGCATGGAGGGGGCTCACAGGAGGTAGGGGGACACTTGGTGCTTCCATCGTCTCTGGCAAAGGCAGCAACGCCCCTCTCTGCACCACAAGCACCCCAACCGGCCCCCCGAAGGATGCTTTCTCTGCCATCACGTTTGCAATGGCTCTATGCAGCCGTGCTTTCCATCCTACTCTATACAGATAAGGAAAGTAAGGCACAGAGAGGCTAAGTAACTTGCCTAAGGTCTCCTGAGCCCTACCCTCCCACTCCACAAACTGCCTGAATCAATGCACCCTAAGAAACCAGCTCAAGTTTGCTTTTTCAACTGAGCTGTGCTAAGGCACAGCTGGACCAGGCAGCCCCAAGTCCAACTGTTCTGTTTTGCAGCTGGAAGATGATACCCCAGGGAAGGGAGTCATGTGTCCACCCATGAACACGCCCACTAACTCAGCCCCCTAGACTCCTAATCCAGTGCTCATCCCACCATCTTCCTGAGACTCAGAGCATGCGGAATGCTTTCACACTTCAGGCAAGCATCGGTGGACACATGCTCCTTCTACCAGCAACCAAAAAACTCAAGGAAAGCGAGGAAAACAAACAGCTGGTTCCCACGTGGTCATAAGCACATATCACACGTGCCTGGTGGCCTCTCGCACAGCCACTGTTTGCCATCTGCTCTCACCTGATTTCTTTGTGACCAAACCCATGCCAGCAAGATGGCTGGCTTGGGGGAAGGCTGCAGGCCATGTCACCTTTCCCCTCTGGTATAAATCAGGAGCCACTTGGAAGCCGAGCATGAGCAAGGTCCCCAGTGGGTCCCCTTATTCTGAGCGGCTAAGTTACTCCAGCAGCGAGGCAAGCTTCCACACCATGGTTGGGGTGCAGAGAGAGGTACTCTGACAGCAAGACAACTGCTCCAGGACCACTGCCCGCCCCCAACAGATGACCATGGTCACCACCTCACAGGATCCCTGCTAGCCAGAAAAAAAACAGATCACGAAAGATACATGGACAGCCTCACACACTGTGCCCAATGGCTCATCCAGCCTCATAAACAGGCCTGATTTTATTGCTTAAAATGACAAACGCCAGGCATCCGTGTCACTGGCTAGTCAAGGCTCACGTTCCTAACTACATCAGGAAAGCCAGGAGGAGGCAGGCAGACCCATACACCTCCAGAGACTCTGCGCTGAAGGTCCGCTTTCCCCTGGGCATCCCACGCTCCATTGGCTTCCTACCTGCTTCCATGAGCTGGCACTGCTGCCCGAAGACATGGGAGAAGGTGACAGGACCCGGGCCAGAACTGGATGCCGCCAGTGTAGATTCCATGGTCTTTGGGGTCCTTAGTGGTGCAGCGGTGTCCAGACCTCAGTGTGTCTGAGCAGAGGACTTTGTCTCTGACCCAAGAACTGTAGATTTGAGACTGTCACCGCCAAGAAAATGTCCCTGTCCCTAAAGTTTACAGTGCTTCTTCCTCTTGCCACCCTTTCTTTGCAGTTTTTCTCAAAACACCAAGTGCAAGATGAACCCCCAGTGCACACTGCAAGTCTGCCTGGGCTGCAGGAGATGAATGTCAAAGGCAAATCCAAGTTTCCCCCGACAGAGTTTTCTCTTGTCCAGGAAGGGTGGCCGGGACTTGGGTCTGCCTCCCCTGCGGCCACCGAAGAGGTAGAACCCCAGGGCTCTGCTCAGCCCGGCTACGCTGGGACCTGAGACAGAGCTCCAGCCCAGCCGAGTCCCAGCGCCAGCTGCAGGCACAGTCTGCCCAGGCTCCGCCGCGTCTCCTTCCCCGAGAGGCGAGCAGGGTGAGACGCTGCCCGGGTTCCCCCGGGAGCTGGCCTCTCCGGCGCCGCCCCGCTGCTCTGCAGCGCCTGTCCTGGGCTCCTTGGTCCGCGCTGGGCGCCGTGGCCCAGTGTCCAGGGCGTCTGAGGCAGCAGCTGCAGCCAGGGGAGCGCGCGCAAGGCGCGTGCAGCTCGGCACTCTGCAGCTCCGGTGCGCCCGCCCGGTGTCCCTGGCTCATCCTTCACTCCTGCGGATGCCTTCGCCCGCCTGCTCCCTGCTCCTTGGAAAGCAGCAGGGATCCGAATAAGACATGACGAAAGCGCCCCTGCTGTGCCCTACTGCAGCTGGCGCCCCAGCCTGCTCAGACACCCCTTTTCCATGATGCAAAAAGGACCCTTACTTGGAGAGTTCCTGGATGCAGAGGGAAGCGCTAACTCAGCCCAGCAGGCTCCTGGGCTGCTGTAACCTCTTCATGCCCACAGCCAAAGAGTTCCAGACACAGGACATCAGATGGCTGCAATAAAATCGAACGCTCAAGATAAGGAGTAGAAAAAGATGCCACACATCCCTGCTGACCCTGGAGTCAGAGAGCGGCTTCATCTTGGCCATCCGTGCCCTGTTCTGTGTGTCAAATAATCTCTCTGATCCCTGCTCCAAGTGGAAAGGGGCAGCTTCTCTGGAAACACGGGGGGGGGGGGGGGGGGGGCAATACCTTCCTGGATCACAACAGCTGCATACCAAGTGCTTCTCTTTATTTTGCATTCCCATCTGCTGATCACAAGGATACTAACTTTAGAGACACTGCACCTTCTCCTGCAGCATTGGATGCTGTCTCTGTAGATTTTTGTCTCCACACTGGCAGGACTCTGGCCATCAGCTCCTCAGGAAGAACAGCGAGGAGCACGAGCCAGAGCAAGAGAATGCAGCTGTCCCAATCAGAACACCCATGTCTGCGTTTCTCAAGAAGGTCGGGTTTGAAGCCATTTGCCTAGTCTAGATTTAAGATTCCGAAGGTAAAGTTCCAGCTGATTTGTGGGCCCCTAAAACCTCCCAAACAGAAGCTTTTCCATGACAGCCCTTGCTGAGCACATACAAAGCTCAGGGTATTTTAAGAGTTACCTGGGGAGGGTAGACAAGGCCAGAGAAGCTTGGAAATTCTTCCAAGAGTTCAAATGAAGTCTGACTTCATGTGCAAGGCTTAAAGTAATCACTTAGTGTGCCTTTCCGTAGGAACAGGCTTTTTTCCAAGTTATGAAATTATAGGACATCAGAACCCAGTGTCTCTGACAGTGGACTCTGAGATGACCGAGGGTAAGGTCAGGAGAAGAGCAGACTCCTGCTAACTGCAAAAGCCCACACAGAAGGGGAAATGAACCGACTTTCCAGTGGTCATAGTTGTTGTAATGATCCCCAGAGATGGGCTACTATGCCCCTGCTAAACTGTTTTTAAAAATCCAAGGCAACCTTCTGTGTTAATTCAACCTGCAGGTGTCTTTTGTTTAGCAAACGATGTTTTCTCCTGCCTTCTTGTACACCCAGCCCCACCCCGCCCCGCCCCCTGCCCCTCACTACTCCAAGTGGTGATTCTTGATGTAAACTTAGCACGTTTGGCTCCTTCTCTGCCCGTGGCACCAGGCCCCTGCTCTCAGCCTTTGCTGCTACAAACACTGAGATGCTGCTTCCTAAGCTCAGGGTCATCAGGCAACGTGTCATCCAAAGCAGGACACTGACAGTGAAGAGAGGCACGAGGACTGATTACACTGTCCCACGTCTTGGTCAATAACTGTTGCCAAAACCTAGAACACTTGGAAATCTAATAGGCGTAGTTCATCATAGTTCATTATAGTTTGTTCGCTTGATTTGCTTTTCCATAATTACTAGTAAGTTGAGTGCTTTCAAATCTGACCTTCTTTGAAAAGTTCCTGTTCATAACCTTGCCCCATGTCTCCAATCCTTTTCCTGTTTCCTGGCTGATGGATCCATAAGAGTTCCTTGACTTTGCTAGATGCTAGCCACATTTACTCACCTGAGTTTTGCCCATGTCTTCTCCCAGGTGGTCAGCTCAGTGATGACTTTGTCCATCCATGGTGTCTTTTGACTAGAAATATTTAATATTGAGGTGGTCAGATCTGTTGTGTTTTTGACTTCTAGACTGCTTTGCGAGTCTTAACTGATCCTTCTCCACTCCTAGATCGCAGCCAGACTCCTTTATGGTTTTGGTTTCCATACAAACATCTTTATCTGGAGCCCACCCTTCGTATCTGGTATATGAAGGGGATGGCTTTTACCCCCTCGATATTGTGGACCAATTTTCCCAAAGCCTTCTCTGTCTACTGCAATAGACTGAGGGACTGAGCACCCTCTCCCTAAAAATACTCTGTATATTGAAATTCCATCCTGCCGTGATGGAACTGGGATCTTGAGGGTAAGAGCCCTAGTGAGTGAGATCAGTGTTTTTCCAGAAGTTTCTCCTGCTCTCTACCTCACGAAGACACAGCAAGAAGCCGGCAGCCTACCTCTGGGAACAAAGCTCTCACCAGAACCACGCTCTTGTGACGCCCTCATCACAGACTCCAAGAACCGTGATAAACTCATCGCCATGTTTAAGCCAAGCAGCCTATGGTGCTTTGTTAGTAGCCCAAACTGATTGAGGCACGACACCTATCCTTTCCCCACTGGGGCATCATGAGTATTATCTATTCAGTTTCCACAAACCTGGATCTATTTTTGGGTGCTCTGTCCTACATAAATTCCCTCACCCTATGCTATGCATGTTAATATTTTAAGGTTAGTAGCTGTGACTTTTAATTGTGTTATGTTAACTTGATTGGATTAAGAAATGCTTAGCAGGTTAATAAACCACAGTTCTGGGTGTGTCTGCAGATGACTGACATGTGGGCTAGCAAACTAAGAGATTACCCACCCTACGTGTGGGTGGCACCAACCAACAGGCTCAGAGGTAGCCTGGATGGAAGGAAAGAAATGTACCTGTTTTGAAAAGCACCAGTCTTCAGTGATGCATCATCCTTTGTTGCTTTTGCCTTTGGGCATTGGTTTCTAGTGACCTTCCACACCTTTGACCTTGGACTGGCGCTGCATCTGATCCTCCCACCCCCATTCTGTGGCTTCTGTCTTCTGAGTCTTCCTGGCTCCCCCATCGCTCTAAAATTCAGATGGCCATGGTGGATTCTTCCACCTGTGATCCAATAAACTGCCACTGTGGGCTAGTCTGCCTCTGATCCTTCCTAATAAAAGGAAGGATCCCCTCATATGATTACACATATTGTCTATTGAATCTGTTCCTCTAGAAAACTCTAACACAGTGGTCAACACTGTAAGAGGTCTGGATTTCAAAATTTTCGAGACAAGTTGGATTTGATAGTGTCGAACCTGAGTGTCTCCTGCAACAATCATCAGGAACAGTGGGTGTCCCTTTCCAAGGCTGCATGCCTGCTGTAGCAACCAGCTGGGTCCGAATCCTTTTATAGTACAAGCCTTTTCTTTATAGAGATGTGTTCAAGTATTGGAAACTTTTGAGTGACAGCCACATTGTAGAAGCCAGTAACTGACTCTTGTTACCTCTGTGCTAGCTAAGATCATTTCTTAAATATCTGTTTAGTATCTAACCCTATGCTAGGGTTAGATGGCAGACAAAGTGGTGTGATACACATAAACCATGATTACCAACACCTGTAGAAAAATGTACCACGTGGTGAATCAGGTACCGTGTAAGACCCTGCTGTTCCAGGACAGGCTGGGGCTGGAACCTTCAGGCTGAGCTTTAGGAAGGGAGAATGGAGCTGACTTAAGAAACCAAGTGAGACTTATATCAGTAGGTGGAAGAGGATTGGGTTGGGGGAGGGGATTTGGACAAAAGCAAGTCATTAGGACCAGGAACGTTTAAAGGCCATGTTAAGTGCTGCAGAGGTTTTAAAGTTTATTTAGGAATCTTTAGGAAGAAAATTAATTTTCCCTGGCCCAAATCAATTTTTATATTCTTTTTTAGAGCCTTCTTCCTGTGCCTCTAGATTCTAAATTGAGTTTCCCTAAAAGAGCTCCCTTGACTGTGCTGGGGATCCTCCTCCCACAGGAGTGAAGAGCTGATTCTGCAGGTCAAGGCAGGCTCAGCACATCAGGGTAAGAGCACCTGAGGGTCCCAAAAGGCCATGTGGTGTAGACAGAGAAAGTGAAGGGCAATTTAGGAAAATAGGACACTGAGCTCAGGCCTTGTATGATGCTTCATCTCTCATGGCAAAAGACCTCTGTGTCAGTCCACTTTCTGCCGCTAATAATGGAATGTCACAGCCCGGGTATGGTTTAAAGGGTTTTATTTTGGCTCACAGATCTGGAGGTCTGAGATCCAGAGGCTGCCTCTTCCTGGTAGGATCCCAAGATGGTGCAGGACATCCTGTGGCAAAAGACAGTGTTTGACAGTGGCTTTGCAGATGAAGATTATTCAAAGTTACAGTTTCATTCAATCGCTGAGAATTCAAAGGAGCGGCTGCTTGGGTATCAGAGAGCCCCAGAGAAACAGCAAACAACTGAGACTTCTATGGTTATTTATTTGCAACTCAAGGACATGAGAACAAAGACATAGAAGAAAAGCATTTTGCATCCTATTATATAGGAGTTTTTGCCGGGGGAGCGGGCTGGAATAGGATGGTTTGTTATGTGACAGGAGTTGACCCCATTTAAACAATCTTATCAGGGCACAGGGAACACAGTGGCCAAAGCAAAGATCCCTGACAGTAACTTGCTCTTCATTCTGCTGACTGCTGTCCTGCTGATTCTGCTCTAAACCCTAACCACACATTGGAGGAGCACGGGAACTGTGGTTCCCTGAGGGCCCGCGTCTCCTCACAGACATCAGGAGTGTGCTTATGTCTTCTGGAGTAGCTCTCCTTCTTCTAAAGCCACCAGGAGTAATCGATCATGGAAGCTCCACCCTGATGTGCTTTATCAGTCCTTATCAGCTCCCTGAGACCTCTTGCAAACGTGATATCGGTGAGAATCTGAGAATCAGATCCCAATTCAAATTGCAGAAGGGACAAACTATATTCAAACCACCAGACAGCCACAAAGTGGAGGCTACCAAGTACCATGAGCTGTACCGAGAACTCCAGACATTGTTACGTAATAACATACCAGTGGGCCCCCCTTCCCAGATGAGGAAACCTGGGTTTAGGAAGATTCATGCGGTCTGCCCAAGATTATTCAGCCAGAAGGTCATGCAGCTAGCTGTTCATAGATAATCTGCAAGAGGCATGAGTCAATCCCCTGGTTCTTGGTTTTGCAACTAGCGAATGACCTGTCTCCTTGAGAAGCTATGCTACTGGGTCATATTCTACAGACGTTTCCATGTTGGGTCAAGTTTTCCA